TTTTTGACCACCGCTGCACACTGCGTGGAAGTTTTCAGAGAACTGTCCATGATAACTCCAAGATCTCTTTCCTGATTTGTCATAGCCAAATTAGCCCCAATCATACTGTATGTATAGTTGGGGTTATTTTTCCCGATGTGCATTACTTTACACTTATCCACCTTAAATTTCATTTGCCATTTTGTTGCCCAATCACTCAGTTTGGTGAGATCTTTTTGGAGTCCCTCACAGTCTGCTTCTGTCTTGAGTATCCTAAACAGTTTGGTATCATTTGCAAACTTTAACAACTCACTGCTTACCCCTTTCTCCAGATCATTTATGAATAAATTGAACAGGATTGGTCCCAGGACTGACCCTTGGAGGACACCACTAGTTACCCCTCTCCATTCTGAAAATTTACCATTTATTCCTACCCTTTGTTTCCTGTCTTTTAACCAGTTCTCAATCCAAGAAAGGACCATCCCTCTTATCCCATGGCCATGTAATTTACACAAGAGCCTTTGGTGAGGAACCTTGTCAAAGGCTTTCTGAAAATCTAAGTATACTATATCTACTGGATCCCCTTTGTCTGCATGTTTGTTAACCCCTTAAAATCAGGAATAAGGGATTTTTCGGAAAAGGCTTTATTTTCCGAAAGATCTCCATCTAGACTGGTGCTTTTTGCTGGCAAAGCCCCAAGCCAGAAAAAAGCAGCAGCCATGTTCATGCAAATGAAGCGGGGAAGATTTAAATCCCCGCTTCATTTGCAATTGCGCTTTGTCTAATCTGCATCCCTTTTCCGCAAAAGGGGTGCAGTCTAGACACAGCCTAGTAGTATAGAGGGATTGCAACTCCCTTCTTCCCAGGGCTGACAGTCATTATTGTTGTTGGCTACCAATTGATTTCAGCTGTTAGTGAGGGAGGCCCAGAGGGAAGGAGGGAGAAACGACTGCACAGCATGTGCTCTTGTTGCAGTTTGCCTGTCAGCTCATGTCTGAATTCACGGACCAGGAAAGGCATCAATTGACAAAGCTGGTAATTGGTTGTCATGGTCTACCAGCAATCAAGGCCAATGTTTGCATTTTTCGGATGTGGGGGGGAGTGTCCTCTTGGAAGTTCCTCTAGGTTTTGTGACCTCTGCACTGTGCTAGTCTGAAGTGTAAGCATCCTATCTATCTTCACTGCAGCTTTAATATTTTTGCTGGCTGTTAAACCACACAGGAACCAATGGCAGGGCTCTCGTGCAATTGCATGGGTGAGTGTGCAAGTGGATATCTGTGTGGCGCACTCCCTACCTGACGGGAAGCAGTGCCAAATTGAATGAAGCTCATACGCTGCAGGATGCAAGTCTCTAGCTTGTGGTGGTGCTATGTTTAACATAGGTGATGGCATTCAGTTCATTAGCATCCCTGTGCCAGAGAGTCTTTGGTCTGAGCTGCTAGGACTGGAACAGGCCCATAAAGGCTTATTTCAATTGGTACGCGATCCCGTGACTTTCCTGCAAAGGCTAAGTACCTGCCACCGCTAAAGCTGGCTGACCTAGTCCATTGAATCTGCCCCTTTTTGCACAGAACATCTGGGGTTCTGTCCCCTCTGGTGATTGATGGTAGCATTTATCCACAAATACGATTACATTTCTAGCCCCCATATGGCAAAATGCTCCTGTTTCAATGGGATCAGGATGTCGTCCTGTATCTGATAAGTCTCTGAGCAGAGTAGCACAGAGGAGTAAAATACCCCTCCATGGGGCTTGATTCTCGATCCATAGCAAAGCATGTAAACCTAGAAAGGCCTGATAGTCCGGTGAGGTGACTGGCCTCGCTGATCTCAGTTTCAGCTGGCAGAGTCAATTAGGGATGTTAACATGTATGTAATTTGTTAACCATGTAACCTCTGACATTTTCAGGGGTTAGACACAGGGTAGCAGTAAGCTCCCTGGGAGCTGGTATACTCCAGGAGCTGCCTTTTCAGCCGGCTCCCTGTATGTACAGGCTCCCCCCTGCTGCTCTGTGCTGCTGCCTCTGATACAGAGGCAGCAGCGCGGAGTGGCAGGCAACTTTCTGAGAGTTGGACTGGAAGCCGCATGTTGCTGTTTGGGTAATCAATTAAGCTCATGCTTAATTAATTAAAGCTCATGCTTTAATTGGCTACCCATTTAAATGGCTACACTTTCACATCCCTAGAATCCAATAGAAAGGGCAGTTCACATGTATCAGGGCTAGAGAGTTAATCCTGTGACTGTTCGTAAGTCTCTCAGGGTATGTCTACACTAGCTCATTAGTTCGAGCTAGGCAGGGTAATTAGGGCAAGTGGAGTTGCAAATGAAGCCTGGGATTTAAATATCCCGGGCTTCATTTGCATGTTCCCGGGCGCCGCCATTTTTAAATCCTCCTTAGTCCGAACTCCGTGCCTGCAGCTACATGCAACATGGAGTAGGTAGTTCGAATTAGGATCTCTAATTCGAACTACCTAATCCGTGCCGCGTGTAGCCGCGGGTACGGAGTCCGCACTAATGGGGATTTAAAAATGGCGGCGCCTGGCAAGCTGCAAATGAAACCCGGAGAACATGCAAATGAAGCCTGGGATATTTAAATCCCGGGCTTCATTTGCAACTCCGCTTGCCCTAATTACCCTGCCTAGCTCGAACTAACGAGCTAGTGTAGACATACCCTCAGGGTTTCACCCTAAACCAAGGGTGGGCAAAAATCCAGACACGGCTCACCAGGATTTGCTCATGGCAGGGCTCCAGTGCTGTATTGACCTGCACCTCCAGAGGTACGGTCGCTTGGAGCTAATCAAGGTGAACCACAGCTGTCCTGTGGACTGGTTACTGCCCACTGTTGTCCTAAACTATGGTCCTTACTGAGCTTGATATTTATAAAGATAGAGAGATATATTACTTTTTAAAAATAATCGCTGTATGTGTTTCAGAATAAACAACATGTAAATTATTTCAATGTAACAAAACAGGCAAAGCCTTAGTCTTTGCTAAGTATCTGCAAAGTATTTATGTTTTAAGCTTAAACCGCGAGTTCACAGCAAACTAAATGAAGCCTCCACAACAAAATCCCCAAATCTCTCAAACCAGT